CGGATCCCACTGAGTTCCAAATGGTCCCAGTGGAGTCAGAAACGGGTCCCAACCAACAAGAGTTCCACAGAGACCTACTTTCTGCCCCTACTAAATTGAAAAACCAAATTTAGCCCCAGAAAGAACCTACAGACTACAGCCGTTCAGAATGAAATAAACAAAGCACTGTAGAGAGATATAGCATGACAAGCAAGATACTCCATTCATTCACTCGTCAGGTGAGTAAGCAGTTCACACACCTCACACACAATCAAGACTATGGAGGATGGAAGAAGAACCCAGAAAACCCCTACAGGCAGTCAATTCCATGCACACACACATGGGCACCCTGGCGGCACGACACTTACCTGAGTGGCCGGGCTCTTGAGATGAAAGAACTCACCCGCCTCTCACATAGTCCTCCTGACCCAATTAGCATCCTCTACACTAGTGTGCTATCATCTAGGAGGGTCAACATCTACCCGAAAGTACAATGCCGGATCCCCCGTCGATGTTGAGGATCAAAGCAGCAGCTTGCAGTCCGTAGGTGCAGATATGGCTACCACCCTCAAGCTCGCCTAACTTGAGGGGAGCCCTAAGTCCAGATTCAAGTTGTAGGTGCCCTTCACTGTCGCCTCTCTCAAGTTGCATCACGAAGTCCCACCTTGTGTCTCACCACCACAAACATGCACTCGAGCAACCTGGGCGGGTCTAGTGTCGACCCTACACGGCCCTGCCAGGTGGGGGCAGCTTCCCTTTACCACGCTTGCCCACTTAACCCTAACTTCCGCCCTAACCTTAAGTGGTTAGCCCTTACCACTAGGGTTAGGGTTATGGCAGCAAAGTCAACTCTCGCCAGCAAGTAGAATCCGCTCTGATACCAATGTTACGATCCTGACCCATTCCGAAGTATACATTCATCAGAAAGTACAATGCCGTCCAGTTGCAAAAAGAAATGAATGAACTTGAGAGGAGAGAGAGGGAAAGAAGCAGAAGAAGAAGAAGAAGAAAGCAGAAGAAGATGATGTACTCCAGCATAGACCAATGACAAGGCTCTTCTTCTTCGCCAACCAATCTCCTCCTCCTTATCTCCTCCCCTCTTATTCAAACAAGAAATAACAATAATAATGTTGAATGGCTGAACCAGAATCAATGTCCGAATCCCACTTCTACTGCAGGCACAACATGAGGTCCACCATAGCCATGGCCACCCTTCTCCTTCCTCGTCATTGCAGGTCGAGGCTATGGCGGACTACTGAGGCTTCAGCCTCCTGTCCAAAGGACAACCCAAAGCAGCTATGTCGCTGCTCACTGAACCGCCATGCCTGACTCTACCCCAGGCTTCCTTGGTGCGGCACTACCCCAACGGGGGCCTTCCAGATGCAGCGCCTAACAAGGTGATGAAGATGGTGTCCACCATAGCCAGGTAGGTACCTCGCCACTCTCCCCTTGGTCCCCTTCTCCCTCCTCCTCCTACCGGCCGAGCTCCGGCTTCTTCCTCCCAGCAGCGCTGTAGCAGCCAGCGCTCTTCCAACCAGCGCTCCAACAGCGTGACGCCCAACTCGCACACTGAAGAATGAGGCCAAGCTCTTGCCTCGGCCTCTTGATATAGCGGCCTGCTTGCCTCCTGGGCGGTGACTTCCAGGCCGCTCGGCCTCCCAAGCAACCGGTACCTCCTCCCTTTCGGAGGGAAACATCATTGCAGACTCTGATATTGCCCATACAGGCTTTAGACTCAGACTGGATGGACTGGTACCGGCCTAGACCTGGCCTACCACTACTGGGCCTCTAAAAATGCCAACTTTGTCTTCTTCTGCTCGGCCTCGAGTACCCGGCACATCTACTGCTACTGGGTGCGGTACCGGCCTACCTGCTACTTGAGTGTTTTTCCGCTGCTCTAAGCACAGCGGGCCCCTGACTCCGCTACTCGAGTGTTTTTCCCTGCTGCAACCCTCAATGCCACGGCCACATGTAAGTACCGGCCCTACGGGCCTACCAAACAAGCAAGTACCCTTGCGGGTCACACACACACTCACGCCGACAAGCACTCAGACAGGCACGCAAGTCAACAGGCACGCACACATACGGACTTAGAAAACACAGCAGAATGCGGGAATCTCAGCAAGGCATCCATTCCATCGGCAGAACTTCAGAAATCAGCAGTGTTCTCAGTCTGTGTGATGGCGGGTCATTACACTAGTGCAAATCTGGTACAGCGATTTTGGTGGCCTGGTATGCTAGACGAAGCCAAAAAGTACGTTCAGACTTGTCAAGTCTGTCAGCGGGATAAGCCTCAAACTCAAGCTCGGCTTGGGTTGCTCAAGCCTTTACCCATTCCTGCTGGTCCGGGACAGAGTGTCTCCATGGATTTCATGGATACCCTCATGACCAGCAAGAGTGGCAAGAGGCATGTCTTCGTCATAGTTGATAGGCTTACTAAGTACGTTAGACGGATTGCCATGTCGGAGACCGAGTCTTCTGGAGAGAGCTGCGAACGAGGTTCTCAAGCATGGACTTGGCTGCGTGTCTTAGCATGTTACACCACCTGAAGCCCTTACACACGAACCAACCCATACCCGGGAACCTGCAACCGGGCACAGGTACAGCGAGACAATTCACCAGATTAGTATTGGTCCGAAAATCTTACTTAAATACAGTCTCAGCAAGCCTCTACCAAAAGTAGGCTACGAGAGGCTCCTCTAATGAAGTCCGCAGTAGCTGCAAGATTGAAGAGTTGCAAGTCTCAAGTGTTCAGATTGAGAGTCGAAACTGGAAGGTCTCAGCGATTGCTGGCGCTGCAAACCGTCAGGACCTGGTGACAACAATGCATTTCGGGCTCAGCGCGGATACCAAAAATCGGACCCGGCAAAGATGTGCATAGTCAAAACCAGCAGCAATCTGCACTCAGTACATAGATGGCAGTAATCTCAGTGAAAAGGAGACTCGGACTAAGCAGACTGAAGCTATGCCCAACAGATTTCCAACAGCAGCCACAGCGAAAGGGGGGCGGACTTAGACTATAAGCAGATAGCGGTCGTGCTCTGCAGACAGCAGACCACAGTTCCAACAAATAGTGGACTTGGAACCAGAGCAGTGCTGCATCCACAGATCGCAGTCTCGGACAGACAGCGAGAAGCTGTGGATTTAGAATCCAGAATGCAGCGAGAACCTGTCGGGCTCAGCGGCGAACAGAAAAAACAAGCTCGACAACGGTTGAACCAGATTCCACAGACTTAGCAGTGAGTCAGGTCAGGTCTTCTCTCTTAAACCACTAGTACCTTTGTTGTTTCGGAAAATAGAGAGGGGGCCTCCGACCATTCAGGAGGAGGAGGACAAAAAGAAACGAAACGACGACCGCCGATTAGATTTATCAATGGCAGCCGTCGTCGGGCCCGGGCTCCAAATTCTTCGGGAACTGGTTTTCCCTCATTTCTGAAGCGGCAAAAGTACTACCGTCTTCACCCAAATAAAACGCCCGGTCATTATAGCCGTATTTGGCACAGCTTTCGGTCCAGATGCAGCGGTAATGCCCTGGCATTCTATTTGGGTGAAGACTGTAGTGGTTTAAGACCCGAGACAACACTTTGGGGGATGGGATAAGGCAAAAGACCAGTGGCCTATGTGAGTGATGATTGCACAACCCATAATTATTTATTTGAATTTTGAACAAAAGTTACAAAACAACTGAACAGTGAATTCTCATTTTGTTCCCCTCGCACGGTTAGTTTTCCTTCTTTGATACTGGTGGGGGTGTTTTTTTTTTTTTGTTTTTTTTTTTAAGTTGTCCTTCTTTGACACTTGTGCTATACTCAAGCAGATAAAAAGTGAAAAACGAAAGAGGCATCGTGGTTGAGCCCCTCCAGTGGGTGACAGTCGTTGGCGGCACAGGGGTTTAAAGTCTAAACTTTTAAAGTTTAAACACAGGGGTGCTCGGACCACTTCTCCCGCTCGACAACGGTGGTCAAACGTGGGGAACCATACCGGTCGTGATATCCACCTCACCCCACCCCACCCCTGCAAGGCTGTAAATTGCCTGTAATGTCCAAACTCGACACAAGACCACACTCAACTCCGCATGGACAACACACGGACACATCGGCAATTCTCGCACACTGAGCTCTAACTGAGTAGGTATCATTTGCTCCAATCAGTACACACCCTTCACCGGTACTTAGCCCTCTCATTACTCCAGGCTCTTTAAGCTACCCGACAGTTCATGCGAGCCTTCACAGTTGGTTGTATGGATCACGGGGTCTCGTGAAGAGGTGCGTCAAAGAGTTATAAAAAACAAAAAAAAAGCCACGGCCACTGCTCTTCGTTGCAAGAGGTGGAGCAGTCGATGAGTGAGGGTGGCCCAAAGCCTGACCAACCCCACGGAAACTCCGAATCCCTTGCAACTGAGCATCGGGCAGACAGACTTTGGGTGCGAAGATCCAATGGCAAAAGGGCGACAGACCAGATCGTACGCTAAGGTCCTAGAGCAATCCCTTAGTGGGGGAAAGGAAGGAAGTGATCGAGCAATTACAACCAGGGGCAAGGTCCCACTTGCGCAAATTAGGAGATTTGGGCCGTTGATCTTTGCTATCGACGGTCAGTATCTCTGAATTGGTCTAGAGAGGGGTCTCGTGAAGAATTGGTCTAGAGAGGGGTCTCGTGACTGTATTTACGTTGATCTTTGCTATCGACGGTCAGTATCTCTGAAGTGGGACCTAGCCCCAGGAGGTGGACTTGGAAGCAGCCATCCTGTGAAAGAAAGCGCAATAGCCTACTGGTCTAGAGAGGGGTCTCGTGAAGAAATGCGTCAAAAAAAAAAAGAAAAAAAAGGGTGTGACCCCTGTGCAACGATGACACGCGCAAATCGAGAATAGAAAAAGGGGAAAAGGGGGAAAGTGGAAAAAGTTTGAAAACAAAAATCCAAGTACTAAATTACTGTCATTTTACTGATTGATTGACAATTGTTTTTTTTTTTTTGCATTTTCTTGTGTCTGACTCTGACGAGGAACGACTGTTGCAACTTGCAGGTGTTGTGCTCGAGGGCCTTGTGTGGGCTGGCATTGTGCACGAGGGCCATTGGTTCTACTCTGTCGAGCAGGTGGAGTTGGCGATCCAAAACTTTCTAGTTTGCGTAGAGATGCTCTTTTTTGCCATGGCGCATTCTTGGGCCTTTGACGTGGTACCGTATCGGAAAAAGGCAGTTGAGAAGAAGGAGACAGTCGACAGCAAAACGCAGAAAGAGTCGCTAAGACAGGATAGTGAAGAAGTGAAAAGCAAGACAGACGAAGGATTGCGGAAGCGTAAAGACACACAAACAACAAGAGAAGGCGATGATGCTGCAGCCGTCCCACAGGAACAGGAAGGAAAGAAGGACAATTGACTGCTGTCGAGGTGAGGTCGCTGGTTTGTAATTGGAAAAAAAAAAAAAGAGGTGACGCCGTATCACGAAAAGGCGGTTGGGATAAAGACGAGAGTGGACGGATAAAAGGGCAAAAAGTTTCCATGAGACGATAGTGAAGAAGCGAAAGGCAAGATCGGTGAAGACCTGCGCAAGCGGATCAACGGCGGAGAATGGCGAGGACCCTGCGGATGTCCAAGACGAACAGAAAATGAAGATGAACAATTGACTCTCTTGTGCGAGTCAGGTTGTTGTTGTTGTTTTTGTGCTAGATAATTGACACCCGTGTGCAAGAGAACTTAGAGGACTTCGAGAAGTGAATCAAGTTCAGATGCGTTGACGACGTCGGCAAAATTTGCCGAACCCTCGGCCTTTCTAGCGGACTCGCTTACACAATGGAGTTTTTGTTTTTTCTTTTCGTGTTTTCCTTCTTTATTTTTTTTAATTATCCAATGAAGTTATCGTTGGCGTACGGCCGCGTACCTTGGTTCTTCATTTGGGTTCGGCGGAGGGGGACAGGGAGCTACTTGATCTTCAATGCACATTGAGAATCTGAGATTCTTCAGTGCTGTGCTGAGGGGGGATAAACCACCAGCTTTTCGTCGATTTTGATTGATGTACACTGAGGGGATGAAGCACAGACTGCAAGATCGACAGACTTGCAGACAGGCAGACAGAGCTAAGGGGGGTGGAAAGGAAAAAAGGACTGAGCTCGCGAGTCAACTAATAACTTCATACAAGTAGTAATAAGTACTAATAATAAGTTAATAACATTGTTTCGTTATTTTTTTTGTCATTCAGAAAATGAAAGAGGTTTGGTGGGCTAAGCCCAGTCTATTGGTGGGAAGCAGCACCTGTGGGAAAACGGGTTCAGCATTTTTAGTCAGAAAAAAAATGAAAGAGGTTTGGTAGGGTCTGGTAGCGCAGGGCAGGTGGTAGTAATGGATTATTTAATCCGCGCACGTTTACATATATTATATGTGTTATTTTTGTACCGGAAAATAATAAGAAAACAGGCCTGTCGAAATCAGATGAATACAACTTCATCAACGCAGGCTTGGCGGTGGTCGTTTTGGGGTCCCTTTTTAGATCCTTACTGAGCGGATCAGAGTTGTTGGAACATACTAGTGCACACCTGACCCATGTGGATGAACAAAAGGTTATGGGTTCGGTTTGCGATGGAATCTGATGAATACAACTTAGTGGGGTTTTGTTTACCCCCCATGCGTAGCTATCGAAGCAGGCTTGGTGCTTTGCCCTTTAGGTCGCTCTTTCTGTTTTCCATGGAACTGTATTCGGAGCAAGGAATCGGAGTCGGGCGCCTGACAGGGAGAATTATGTGGCTGCGGATAAAGGAAGGATTCAGGTTAAAAAAATAAAAAATAAAAAGGGATCATTCATCCGGAACGTGCGGATTCAAGTTGGAAGTGTGTATGTCCTTTGTGAAGGCCTCGTGTTAGATGTGTGGACGTATCTTGTGTTGCTTGGTTTTCCTTGGATTTTTTGTGGCTTTTTGGGAGTGCAGTTACCTTTTGATACTCATCATGGGTTTCTCACCAGTAGTAGGGGCAAATATTAGACCCTCCCCCTTCGCCTATCTGTCAGGCGATCCTCGGAGGTGAGAAAAAATGCACATACATAACGATCGTATGGGAAGCATAGAACCCGTACGATCAACGACACCGGAGAGGAAGACGATGATCTTGCTGGTGAGACGTCGTGGTCGGACTTTATTCAGATGTTCTCTTCAAGAATAACCTTGTTACTCGACATTGCTAAGGTCATCTGAAATGTTTGTCGTATTGACACACCTGAGGAAATGTACTAGAAAAGTTGTGCTTTCTTGCTTATACTAGAAAAGTTGCGCTTTCTTGTTGTCAAGTGAGAAAACGCAAATTTTCTAGTATATTTTCTCAGAGAGACGTTGTTCCAAGTCTCAAATATGGCAAATGTATTGGGACTTCTCTCGTATATTTCTCGCCTGTCTTGTACGGATCGAACATGTCGCTGCGTGCACGATATGACCATTTTTACTTTTAAGGGATGCTATGACATTTTTCATCTTTACCTTTCGCCACTACTGACAAAGGCCATGATGATAGGGATGATCCAGGCGGATGCAGTAACCCCTTTTCATAAAGCCCCGATCTTGCGCTTGCTTTGTCGAAAACACTCGGGATTGGGGTGGCTCCAAAAAGAACACGGATAGAGAAGAAATAGAAAGTGAGGCTTTGGGCTCGACAAAAATGCACCAACTCGTCAAAACTGTTTTTTTTTCTAGCCGAATTGGAAGCGCGTTTTTTTCCTCCGTCTCTTCCCGTTGTTCTTGACAATCTTCTGCTTTTGCCTTTCTCTCCTTACTGGTACCACCGAAAAAGGATCCCTTTTGATATTCATTTGCCTAAGCGTATCCCGTACAAGTTTCAGCGAACGATCGAGGAATTGTTGCAAGGTTACTCTAATGCTCTCGGGCGATCCGATGTTGATATAGGGGTTACACATGGATCATTCACCCATCACCCGCAAACCCTTTCAACACTCCTTAGCTGAACGGAAGGTAGCCCGACAATGTATTCAAGAGTTTGCGACCAATGGATGAATTGAATCCAGAACCATGACCATTTCCTATTGGAATGGCGGAATCTGCATCTATATTAGTTATCACAAGTTGAGTCGGTGATACCAGCCCGTACGTTCGGAGGCCCCCGGGCCGACCTCCAAAGGTTGGGGTGTGCAGGCTGGCGTTCAGGGCTTGTCCCTGGAAGGGTTTGGGTCCCGTCGAACCGCGTTTGGAGACTTAAATTATTGTTATTATTAATTTATTATTATTATTAGAATTAGTAGTAGTAGTAGTAGTAGTAGTAGTAGTAACAGACAAACGACAATATCGCGCACCCACCCCTAAAAGAATTCACAATAATCTGCTAATTAAAAAAAAATTAAAAAATTATAGACGATACGGGAGGTGAACTTTTTTTGAACCCCCCCGATTTTGGCTTTTTTTTGGTTTTTTAACAATATCCCCTATGAGATAAGGATCGCCCAAAAAGTGCGTTTGTATCATTTGAAGGGGCTTGGCAATGAATGCAATGCCTGATGTGCAACTCAAATACACCAGCCATTTTTCAGCACATAATGCACCTGACGTTTTATAATTTCATGTATCATAAAATTCGTGAAAACCTAACAAAATAAATTGTTAGGTTTGCACAAAAAATTTTGAAGATTCTGATAGTACATTCTTCAGGCCTCCTACATGGACAACATTCTATGTGAAGTAAATTAACCAAACAAAAAGAATAGAAAAGTATTTTTTCAAAACCACTGGAAGTGGTGAGGAGAGAAGCAAGTTTTCTTACAAAAAAATCACTACCTTGCAAAGCACCGTTTGTTCAAGAATCGAAATATCCCAATTTTTTGTTTATTTTAAAAAATCAAATTTATAGTTCTATAAGGTATGAAGCACGAAGAACCTACTTGGGGGTTTCCCAAACATGCACATATATTCTCCTATTCACGAATACGTTCTCTTGGATATGTTCCCTCATACATGGACGAATATATTGTTTTTTAGTGTTTTTTATTGAAATATTTTTTCATTTTTAAATTTTAAATCGTGGTTGGCTAAGGATTTGAAGATGTCCCCGAGGCAAAAGTTGTTTGAATTCTTCTTTTGCATAACATATATTTTTGACAAGGATTTTACAGTAAACTTAAAAATGGATTATATTAATTTATAGTTCTATAAACTAGTTTTCGCAGAACTTGGTTTTTACCAAACTGCCGAAAACGACTTATAGTTTTATAAATGAGTATTCACTGAAACTGTTTTTTTAATGTCTTTCGAGTTCGCCTTACAGTCCTTAGAGATTGTCTTGTTTGAGGTATGTTTTTTTTCGATCTACTGAAAACGGCTTTTAGTTTTATAACATGTTTTTTTTTACTGGAAAACATTTTCTTGCACATTTTGAGAATCACTAGATTTTTTGCCAATTTTTTTGCCTCCTTTCTCGGGAAATAGTTAAAAAAAACCTCTTTTATATGTCAAAAATAAGAGTTTGACTTTCACTTTTTCATTCTATAAAAAATGTTAGGTTTTGTGGTTTTGTTAGGTTTTCACAATTCAATGTTATGTGCAAAATGCAGTTGGCGCAGAGCATTATTAATCATTGGGTGATCGGCGATCGTGTACATACATGATGTTTTGATGTATCAATCGATGTTGCATGTTCAGGAATGCGGGTTTCAAGGTGCCATTGAAAAGAGTGCTTCTTCCTCGTGGAGATTTTGTTCCTCAACCACATCGTCATAATGGATGGAAGCGGTAGTGGATGCGCCCTTTCCCACCTCCCTCACGCAGGTCCGAGCCTTTTTTGGATTGACCTTATAGTATCGAAGATTCATCAAGCGATTGCCGCAACGACCACAAATATGGTCAAGAAATTGCAACCGTTGGTTTGAAGTCCGGATTGTAACCATGTTTTTTTAACCCTGAAAAGGGTTATGGTCTCGATTCCAATCCTAATCTTATAACGACGGATTAGCACCCAAAGTTATTTTAGCTGTTCTAGCAGACTAAGGGTCCTAAGGGTCCGGTGGATTGGAACATGTGGCGAAATATGCTTCAAAGACAGTGTTCCGGACAGAAAGAGAAACTATTCGAAACTAATCGGAACTATGTAGTGTTGTGGGGAATCAACCATTTTCGCTCTCATATATACGAAAGGAAGTTTATCCTAGTCGCAAACTTGAACCTCTATTCGCACTGAAGAGGTCAACATCCAACTCGTATGATGGAAAGGTGGGCTTGCCCTCTTCAGGGACTGGACTTCAACATCCGTCACCGAAAGAGAACTGAAAAAGAAACACAAACTGGCTAACCCGCTTACCAGAACTTCGAGTACATTATCGTAAGGTCCTAAAATATGGAAAAATGACGCTTCGACGCGACCATGAACCAGCAAGCATACCTGGTTACGACAAGGTGTAGGTTTTGAAGAAACCTTTATCGCCCTAATGGAGATTCTTAGCTATATGACAAGGCAAGAAGCTACCTCTCCTTCTTCCCCTATATTTATATTTCCTCCTTTCGTTTTCTCAAATTCATCTAGTCAATTTAACTACTTATGTGAACGCATCTCCTGTGTTTACAAAATGACAACTCAACAGCACAAGATAGATTTTGTTGAATATACTCGTTGTTTCAAATATGTGACTCAAGCTCATAGGACATGTATTCCCTACTGCCTTCCAAATAAACCTTGGTTATGTTCGCTCTATCGAACATCTCAGATTCCCATGGAGGAATGGTTTTTTCCAAGTTGGATTGACAAACCTGAATACGACGAAAAATGTAGACGAGTTGCGGTATGGGCGGATACGATCCTACTAGCCAAATAATATGACTTATCCTTGTTCGCTTTTTGCAAAAAATGTCACATTTCATACTACAGATGATCTCAAGACTACAGATGGAAAAATAATCAGTTGAAGAAAAGAAAAATTGACGCAGATGGACTATGGTTTATTATGCCTCAACCCTTTGAATGATATGATTGAACAAAGTCTACCCACAAAGAATCTTATGCTCATTCTTTTTTTTTTTTTTTTTTTTTTTTTTTAACACGCCCTCTTCAGTGCTCATTCTACTGTTAGGATTACCGAAAATGCAATCGATAGAAGCAACTAATATTGGTCTTATATCAGGGATGATATTGAAGTTTATTAAACTTATAGCTAAAATTTAGTGGATCTGCGCTACGGATGGAACACTTGTACAAGCACTTCATACGATACTTACAATTGGATGAAACAGTTCACACCCTTTCCAGCTTGTACGTATAGATCCAACCGATATTAGCGTGCCAAAATGATCCAAACAAAATGATATGGCAACACCAAAAGACAAGAAAAAAAACGATCCATGTATTTAAATACAATGATCTATACAATCGGTTTTTCCATTTTTAGAACAGAAAATCACTCGTTGTATAATTTTGGATTATACATGAAAAAAATAAAGTTTTTCATACAATTCAAATAATTCAACAATTAAGTGATGGGCGACTATCTCACATAAACAAAAACTTTGCAACACATATGCCCTTAGCTTGAAATTGTGTATTACATCACAATGGTTCATTGAGCAACGCCACACGAATGGACAGGTCT